ACACTCCCACCCCTCAGTGTCTCTCTTCCACTGAGGGGCCAGACCTGGACACAGCACTTGAGGCACCTCCCCAGGCAAGGAGGATCTGTCACTTCCCTGGGACACAGCCTCAGCTTGCCCAGCTTTCAGCGAGCTGGAGCACTGCAGAAAGAAGGAAGCAGGTTTTGTGGAGCATGTTGTCATTTATGAGAGCGCACTGTCACCTCCTGAGAACACACTGTCACCTCCTGAGGTGGCACACTGGATTAACAAGGTGATATTAATAAGCAGATCCTACATGCAGAATTTCACCCACGGAACTGCACTGACGTTTAACCTTCTGCCAAGTGCGCAGAAAGCTGATTATTTTAATTACAGGGTGGGATTTTTTTTTTTCCTTTCCCTGTTGCAGTTCCATTATGAGCTCCAGCCCATCAAAAAGCTGAAGGTGAGGAGCAATGCAATTAGGAGTTGGGCACCTGGCTGAGCAGCACCACATGGGCACTTACCCTCCCAGCCCCAAATCACTGCTCAAGCCTCCCTGTGAGACACTGCTGTGACATTTAATGCTCAGCACAGGGCAACTCACACTTACTGTACTTAAAATTACACCAGGACTTGGGGTTGGGCTTTTGGCTTCCACCAAAGACATGGAAAAACTCACATTTGTTTCACAAATAAACCCAAACATAGCATTTTTGAGAAACCTCGCTCAACAGCCAACATTTTTTTTTTTTTAATTGTTCCTTAACTTCCTATCTGCAAATCTGCAGAGCACTCTAATATAATCAGGTCCTCCACACAAGGGATTAGCAGGCTTATATCCCGTGGATCCAATCAGGAAAGTCTATCAGCAAAACATACTTATGTTGATACAGCTATTATAATCTGCATAATTCTTCCAAGTTCACATACTTAATGGATAGCAAACAGAGTCATTACTGCTGCAACTCCATCCGTAGGATCTCTACGAGCCATTCACTGCAGTGTTTTTTATTATTCATAGCTTTAGTTATTGATTTTCAGGAGAAGATACATGCTTTTAAGCACCATAAAAGCAAGAGAGGAAAACAAATAGCACTATTCCAGGATTGATACGCTGCTCATAATAAAAGTATGGCTGTCACTGGTGGAGCCTTGACAAATTCCATGCAAAATGGCTGAGTCGCTTAAGCAGCTCGTTAAATAATTTAAAGGCAAGTTTTACTGGAGGCAGGAAAGTTCTTCCCCAAATCCACTTCCTTCGATTTATGAGTCTGGAGTACGTTAATCAACACAAGCTGGTGCTGCATGCCAGAAGGGCACAGACCCTGTGGAGGGTCTAAGGGACGTGGGATATAGGATATGATGAAGTGTGACCCCTCTGTGGAGGGTTTAAGGGACGTGGGATATAGGATATGATGAAATGTGATCCCTCTGTGAACCATGTCTGCAAGGATTCCGTGCCATGGGGCAGCTGGATGCGGTGATTATCCATGTTCACATCATGAATCCTCAAGGTGGGCCACATAAACCTGGAAAGTGCAAGGACAACTCATCCTTCCCTTTTCCCAGCTCTCCAGCACAGGACTGATCCCAAACACTTGATTATGACCCAACATCCTCCCAGGGTCAGGACTGGCTATGGAGAGACTCCACTCCTTGCTCTAAGCACACTCCTGGAATCATTGAGGTTGGAAAAGCCCTCTAAGAGCGTCCTGTCCAATCCTAAAACCCAGCACTGCCAAGGCCACCACTAATCCACCTTCCCAAGTGCCACACCTGCACAGCTTTTAAAGCTCTCCAAGAACTGATGCCTTCTGGGCTACCTAAAAACAGAGGGCAGACAAAATTAATGGAATAAAAAGCAGTTCTATTTATTGAAGGGCCTCCAGGTGCATTTAGGGCAAACAAAGCCCCCCAGGGGCTGCACCCAAAATGGACCATGGCTCACAGGTTTCACACTTTTATAAGTTTGTTCCATTTGCACATTGGGGTTCATCTCCCAGTTCCAGCTGCAGGGAATGAAGGAATTTCCCCCAAGTTTGCTGCCCCCAACTCCCTTTTGTTTCCATCTCTGGGGCCCTGAGGCAGTGAGGTGTCCTTGATTGCCAGGCCTGGAGAGGAATTGTTGTGTGTGCCCAAGGTGGGGAAGCAGCAGCTCCCAGTGTGTGTGGAATTTGGAGTCACACACTGAGGAATGGCAGGAGTACAAATGTGTGAGAAATAGAAAAAACTCATCTTCCAAACAGCATAGCAACATGGGCAGCAGCCCCAAAATTCACTACAGAAAATGATCAGGGAGAAGATTTCTATTGTCCCACTTTCTTAATAAAGCTGCTCTTGCTTTTTCTGTGGTGGGGGGAAAAGGGGGAGAGGAGCCCTGGGATGAAGCTGCACCTTGGCACACCGCCCAAATTGCAAGAGAAATTGCACTCTAAGTCACTTCCCACATAGAAAACTGCTGTCAAAACAAGGAATTGCAGGTATTTTTCCTCCTGGGAGAAGCTCTAGGTGATGATACACTCAAGGCAGTTCATTGTTTCCAGGAAAATATTTGTCCATCCTGTTAAAACTCCCCCAAAGCAGCTTGGCAGCTCTTCCTGAGAATGGGCTGGTGATCAAAGCACAGCTCAACTAAACTGGGCATAAACATTTAAGGACCCCCAAATTCCTCCTTGATCCCCACCCTGTGCTTGTGACCTGGATGAATGCAGGTGCTTGGGAAAGGCAAAGCACCTCAGAGAGGTGTTTTTAACCCCAAATATCATGAACTCTCATGCTGGAGGGTTAACAAGAGCTGCTTTGTTCAGAGCTCCTGTTCATCCCCTCCTGAGCTGGCCAGGCTCCTTGTGCTCTGCATTTCTCCATTCATAATAAGCTGTCAGATTCCTGGGCTGCACCTGTTATAAATTAAACCTTTAATTGGCCTCACATCCCAGCCCAAGTCAGGAACAGCAGCTCCCAACGGGTCCTTCACAAGGCAGGAAGAGTTAGACCCTGCCCCAGGACCTCTCCCACCCGCAATAAAAAAACAGTGGGGGAACAGGGACGTTTGTCAGCTCCAGAATTGTGATTAAAAAGGGTTGGCATCACTCTGGCAGCTCAGCATCCTCCAGCTCTGCTGTGCTGGTCTACAGGCAAGGCTGCTCAGCTCATCAGAAACTCACAGCAATCCCAAATCTCTGTTGGAGAAGGAAAGGAAACAGCTGGGAAAGGCTGGAGGTAAAGGGCAAACTGAGGCACAAGGTTTTAACTCCAGCGTGGTGAGATCCACCAGGAGAGGAGGTTGCAAATCTCTTGGAGAGTTAATCCTGGAGCAAGATAAGCCAGGCTCAGCTGCTCAGCTTTGTTAACCCCAAAAACTCACGTTGTCCCTCAGTTATGCATATTTTGGAGCACACTTTGGAGCCAGCAACAGCTCACAGGGTACAGTTCCCTTGTGAAAATAATCAGAGCTGCTTCAGCATTTATTGACACCCCCCTGACACAGGGCATCAGGTACTGGAGCTTGTTGAACAGAAATATTTCCAGCTGAACACACAAAAAGGGGATGGAAAACACCCAGACCATGGGGGCACAGCAGAACCAGCTCCAGAACCCACAAACACCCCTGGATGTGCAGGAATGCATCACCCTTCTGCTTCCCACAGCATGCAAAGAGCCCAATTAAATGTCTAAAAATACTTTCCTTTAAAAAAAAACAAAACAAACAAAAACTCAAATTCAAGCGGGAAGATTTTGATTCAAAAGTAAGGTTTTGATTAAAGAGCGTTTTCTTTGGTGCCTTATCTTCCTGCAGGACTTCCACACAGTTAAAAGGCACCCTCAAAACTGACAGATTTGGAGCTACTTCTACAGTCTCACAAAATTCTTCACTAGAAATGAGCAATTCCACTTCAGGATTCCCATCCCAGCCACCTGCAGCACCCAAATCCCACCCAATACTCACTGCCACAGGCAGGAGTAACCTCTACTCCCATTTTTAGTTTATTTTTTGTACTTAACACCAACCCAAAAGCCACAACCACGCACGGGGAAGCAGCAGAAAGGCCCTGGCAAGTTTCGGGGTGAGGAATTTTCCAGCACCAAACAAAAATATCTTTAAGAACAAACAAATCTTGCAGCAACACCTTCCCAAAACCTGGACACAACCAGATCTCTGGTGGCAGTGGGGACCCTCCTCAAGCCCTCTGCTCTCCAAAGTGGTTTTAAATAAAGTTTTTTCAAATTTCTCTTAGGTTTTTGCAGTGATGTCTCATTCCTGCTGCCATCCCGTGTTGTCTTTTTTGTGGGGTCTCCTCCACAGCTCCATAATCCACTTTGGGGAGCCTCTTCTAGAGAGAATTTGGGGGTCTCCACAGCTCCTTAGTCACACCAGGAGAAAACCCAGGTGTATTTTTGAACATCCACAGAACGTTTAAGTCCAAATTCCTTCAGGAACAACTCCAACACTTCCCAAGAGCTCTCACATCAGAGAATCATCACAAAGCCCCTGCTCCCCCAGCCCTGGTACAGCTAAGCAGCATCACCCCATTAATAAGTGCATGTGACGATCGTCACTCCAACTTCACCGATCACACTTATTATTATTATGGTTCATTAATGAGGTTACAAGGCTCAGGTGTTTTCCAGGGGCTCAGAGTTGCGTATTTGCATCAGCAACACAACCTCTTCGTTACTTTAAATAGCAGAAACCCGCTATTTTTTTCTAGTTTTAATGCCTGCATAATAAATTCAATTTTAGTTCATATTCATACAATAAACAGAAGTATTTATCATTTAAAAAACTATGAATATAAAATTCTCCTTTCATACTTTTCCTAATGCATATAAAATGAAAGTTGTGCGAGGTTAAAGCTTGTTTCGAGCGGCTGAGAGATTTAATAATTTATATTGTTATTATTTTTTATTTTTAGTACTTGGGTTACGAGAACTCCGGTGAGACCTCCGGGCCGCTGGGGGGCGCTGTGGGGAGGCGACACCGGAAGCGGAAGCGGTGAGCGGTGCTGCGGAGGCCCGGGCCGTGAGTGGGTCCCGGCATGGCGTGTTCGGGGCCCCGGTGAGTCGGGCCCGGGGGTCCCAGCACCTGCAGGCTGCGTGTCGGCGCTCGGTGAGCGGGTCAGGGCGGTGAGGGCTTGAAGTACCCGGTGAGGGATCCGCCCCAGTGCCTGGTGAAGGGTGCGTTCCGTCGAATCCCTGTGGTTGGCCGATGAAGGTCCCGGTTTGCGGGGCTCTGTGAGCCCCAGTGCCCGCCGAGGGACTGGGCTGGGTGGGATCCGTGCCTAGCGCTCGGCGAGGGCCCGGAGCCTGATGAGGAGCCCGGTGTGGGGGTCTTTAACGAGCCGCGGTGGGGGACTCGGGAGGCTGTGTCCCGGAACCCAGTCAGGAGTCCCGGGCTGCCGGGCTATGTGAGCCCCGCTGTCCGGTGAGGGTCCCGATCCGGGGATTCTGACCCACCCAGGGCCCGGTGAGGGGTCCGGATGGTCTGGGCTCTGTGAGCCCCAGTGCCCTCTGAGGTTTCGGGGTGGTGGAGCCCCCGATCCCCGCTCAAGCAGCCCAGTGTGGGGGACCCTGCCGGGCCCTGGAGCCTGGTGCGGGCCCTGCCGGCCCCTGCCCAGCCATCCCGGC